ACCCCGGCCAACTCCCCGGGGCTGTAACTTGGGTACCTAAGTACCAACACCCACAAACCATCCTTGGCCTTGCCAGACCATCTAGTCAGTGTCTTCAGAGGAAAACCCTTTGAGGGGCTGCGCACGTGTGAAAAGAGAGAGAGGGACAGAGATTGTGCTTCGTTTTTTGGCTCAATAAGACCACATGCAGCTCTGTCTGCAGGGGTGGGGCTGGGTTGTTTTTTTGTCGTTTACTGGTCCCTCACTTAATGCTCCTTCCATCCTCACTGAATATTCTTACTCTCCTAATAACAGAATGTAAGAGCAAAAGTAAAATGACCAGAACTACAGGAGGAAACTGTAATATCAGAAAAGTATGGTTCAAATAATAAGAAAACAGTCCCAGCTACAATGGGAGTTCTGTAGGCTTCAAGAAGAATGAACGGAATAAATATTGAGAGAGTAAGTCAGAAGCTGAAAAAAATACAGGATATAGTGAGTATGGCATAGGTTTGGCTCCTTCGCTGCTGAGAAAAAAAGAGAAAGCAATCAGAAACTCCAAGGAAAACAATCCGTGTAAGAAAGGCGTGATAGAGATATGAAGAAACAAAACTGCAATATTAGTGTATTTGATAGAGTATATATTTGAATATTCTTTCAGTGCCATCAGAAGCTTGGCTTTAGAATTTCAGGAAAGGAACGTAATCATAGTCCCCTGGGCAATGACCGATATTTACAAATCTTTCACTTACAGTCATGTTATCAATGTTTACTTAAGCAAGAGTAAAAGTATGTAAAGTATGTAGAAGGGAAGAAGGGAGAAAAAGGTAAGGGGTCACCCGGCTGGTGTAACTCAGTGGTTGAGCATCCAGCTATGAACCAGGAGGGCATATGCCCAGGTGGTGGACTCGATCCCCAGTAGGGAGAGTGCAGGAGGCAGCCAATCCATGATTCTCTCACATCATTCATGTTTCTAGCTCTCCCTCCCTTCCTCTCTGAAATCAATAAAAATATATTTAAAAAAGAAATACAGGGGTCAAAGATGTCCTCTTGTGCCACTTCAGATAACACTCTAACCACCCAGAAAGCCTCAGGAAAGAAGGTGCACGTGCCCAGACAGAGGTCATCGAGAGGATGACCACCATGGACCAGACCAAAGGCTCAGAATGCAGGGCCGATTCTGCTCAAGAACGTACTTTTCCTGTAGGAACTCAGCTTTTCTGTCTTCTTGGGCATACTCTGGGTACTGCCTAGTGTTCATGGTTTGCAGACCCTGAGACCAATGAATCAATCTTTATCATTTATTTCTAGCTAAAGCCTCCAGACTCTTTCTGAATTTGTTTGACACGAGCTATCGGGGTCTGTGGGGTCATGTTGTGGGTGCAAGGCCCGGCTCCACAAGTGGTGGATGAGCAGGTTACAGAGCTGGTGAGAGAGTGCGAGTCCAGAGCCCCAGTCCCAGCTCTCCCTGCTCTCTGAGCTTCCCACGTTTAATTCCTGGTAGGGAGCGATCTGCCCTTCCTTCAGGGTTTTAATGATCGCTGAAGTAAACTCAGCAAGTAAATGAAATGTAATGATGTTCATCTCTCCCTCATAATCATATCTGCATGGCTGGCCTGGGTTCCAAAGCCAATATAAAAACCAAACTGCAAGGCTTATCTCTTAGGAGACAACAGTGAGGGAAGTTAAAAGTGCTCTGTCAAGTCTTAGGAGAGGATCCAACCTGCCCCAAAGGTGAGAGAGTAACCTAGCCATCATACATGTAGGAGTCTGAGGTCAATAAGATATTGTACTATAATCATCACGGCTGCAATAGATAAACATGAAATTATAATGCAGACATGAACTCTGCATAGAATCTGGCTGTAAGAATAAAAGGTAAAAAAAAAAAGTCATTTTAACCAACTGGATTGGGGGGGAGTGGAGACAGCTACACCCTCACCTAAAAGGGAGATTCCTACAAGGAAAGAGGGTTTCAAAATCTATGTATAGGCTTACAAAGAATTACAATGAGCACATTTATTATTTAAAGTTTCTTGCTGTCTCCAAATTTAACTACACATGGATTTAATAATAGACAACCTTATCAAGGTGAGTACAAATTTAAATAGATGAGAGGTAAAGATTATACATGATGGATTAGGCATATTACGCCGTCTGCTCGGTATACTGTGCTACTCTGTCACCAGGAAAAAAAACACACAAGCGACTTAGAATTTCAGTCAATCTCTCTCTCATGCCCCTGTCTCATTTGTACTTCTAAGACCAGAGGAAGTGCTGAAAATGTCCTGGGAACCCTTTCTGGGTCAGTGAATTCTCTAATCATTCTGGTTATTTGATAGGAACTTGATCCTCTTTGAAATTAATTAGTCTTTATGTCCTACCCACTCATTAAGACAAACTAATTACAAGGCTAGGAGATACTATACTTAGGAAAATAATACAAAAAGGAAAAATTTTCCATTAGCGACTTGAATGCCCCACACCTCAAAGCAATGACAGGAGTTGAACAGCTCCTTAAAATGTCTGAGCCGTGAAGAATCAGTGAGCACCTAGTGAAAAGGCTGTACAAAAAACATGCAGAAAGCCCTCATGTTCTTGTCTTATTCACAGGCTCAGAAAAAGGCAATGAAAGGTAAAGAAATGATACGGCTCACAGCAGCGTTCATACCACCAGAAAAGGAGCTGAACAATTCTAGCAAGGCAATTTTAATTCTATTCTTTAATTCAACAACTATTTTCTAAAGAGGCTTTTTCTTACATGTTCTCTGTGTACAACAGAGCAGACACACACCTACTGAATAAGAAAAGGCATGTTTCTTGCATATATAACAAATTCAAGCAAGCATGCAAAGGTTTTCATCTGTTGTCTCACTTTGGATGGGAGGACATCCTATTAAACTAGGGATATTGAGGTAAAAGAAATTTGAATAAATCCTCCATGAGGGCAGAGCCCTTACATCTTGTTCATCGACCTGTTCCCAGCATCTGGAACAGAGTCTGGCACACAGTAGGTGTGCAGTATTTGCACACTGACTAAGTGAACAGATTCTACCTTTGTGTTCCTGCCTTTGGGTACCTACAACAACCTTTGCCTGCTCCCAGCGCTGCACTGGCCAAGGTGAGCAATGGCTCCAGCTGCCAAGCCCAGCAGACACCTGATGTGTCAATGGCATCAGCATAGGTTAGCGGTCCCACACTCTCACTCTCCCACTCTGGCTGCTGCATTAACGTGCTCAGTTCTTCTCTACCTGACACCTGCATGCACCGGTCCCTTAGCCTCGGTCTAGGCCTCGTCTTCTTTGTTTTTACTGTTTTGGTTTTATTAAAAACAAAAGGCAAGCCTGGCTGGTGTGGCTCAGTGGTTGAGCTCTGACCTATGAACCAGGAGGTCACAGTTTGATTCCTGGTCAGGGCACAAGCCCAGGTTACGGGTTCAATCCCCAGTAGGGGGTGTACAGGAGGCAGCTTATCAATGATTCTCTCATCATTGATGTTTCTATATCTCTCTCTCTCTCCCTTCCTCTCTGAAATAAATAAAAATATATTTTAAGAAAAGGCAAAACTTACATGTAAAATAGGACCCTTTGTTTTCATCTACAAAATATATATATACTAGAGGCCTGATGCACGAACTTTGTGCAAGAGTAGGCCTTCCTTCCTCCGGCGACTGACACCGGCTTCCCTCTGGCACCCGGGACCCAGGCTTCCCTGGCAGCCCCGTCTTTGTCCGAAAGGTCGTCCGGAAGGATGTCTGGTCTAATTAGCATATTACGCTTTTATTATTTTATTTTCCATCACCCTTTATCATCTCTATGCTCTCTTCTACCTCCCTGCTCCCCCCGTCCACATTCACCACACTCCAGGTCGATGAGTTCTCTTTTTTTCTTTTTTGCTCAATCCCTCCCTTATCCCCCAACAGAGCTGTCTACCTGCTCTCTATGAGTCTGTCTCTATTTTACTTGGTAGTTCAGTTTGCTCATTAAATTCCACATATGAATAAATTATATGGTACTTGTCTTTCTCTCACTTATCATAATATTCTCCAGGTCCATCCATGAAATTATATGGTACTTGTCTTTCTCTCACTGGCTTATTTCACTTATCATAATATTCTCCAGGTCCATCCATGCTGCCACAAAGGGTAACATTTTCTTCCTTTTTAGTATTCCATTTCCATTGTGTAAATGTACCATAGCTTTTTTATCCGCTCTTCTACTGTTGGGCACTTGGGCTGCTTCCAAATCTTCGCTATTATAAATAATGCTGCAATGAATAGAGGGGTGCATATATTTTTTCCAATTAGTGTTTCAGGGTTTTTTTGGATAAATTCCCTGAAGGAGAATTGCTAGGTCATAAGGCAATTCCATTTTTAGTTTTTTGAGGGAGCTCCACACTGCTTCCCACGGTGGCTGTACTAGTCTGCATCCCCACCGACAGTGCATGAGGGTTCCCTCCTCTCCACATCCTCGCCAGCACTTACACAATGACGTAGCACCTCACACCTGCTAGGCCTCATCTTTTCTTCTCTTTCTATACCCTCCACCGACTCCATGTTCACCTGCTCCAATGGCTTCAAGCAATACGCCTATAACCCCCAAATCTCTCTCCTGAGCTCCAGTCCCAAAGGCCTGCTGGGGAGCTCTGAACTCGGGCTGGAAATTTGACATAACCAGAATAAAAATGATCTTCACTCTTCCACTCACCAACATTTCCCTCCCCATGTTCCCTGGGATGCCACCATTCACCCCACTGAGCACTCAGAAAGGTGCCTGCCTCTCATCCCCATCCAACCCTTCGACCCACTTCCCTCCTTCTCCACTGGCACTTCCCTCCTGAAGGTCACCCCATTTTCTCCCCTGGACTAGTCTCCTCACATCCACCCTGGCTACCTTTCAATCCAAAGTGATCTTTTTAAAGTGAAAATGTTATCTTGTCATATCTTGTTTAAAACTATCCATGGCTTCCTTGTTTTTAGGATACAATCCAAAATCCTTGCCTGGCCAGCATGGCTCAATGGTTGAGTATTGACCTGTGAACCAGGAGGTCACGGTTCGATTCCCGGTCAGGGCACATGCCTGGATTTCAGGCTCTATCCCCAGTGTGCGGGGTGCAGGAGGTAGCCGATCATGATTCTCTCTCCTCATTGATGTTTCTATCTTTCTCTCCCTCTCCCTTCCTCTCTGAAATCAATAAAAACAAATCTTTAACAAGGTCTAAGAGCCTGATGACTCTGCCTCCCTCTCCCTCTCCAGACTTTTTGCACCACTCTTGTTACCACCATCCTTAATAGGTCTCCTTCTAGAATCAACAGTAAAGAATGACTCAGGAAGACCTTAAAATAGGGGTCCTCAAACTACGGCCCGCGGGCCACGTGCAAATACAAATATTGTATTTGTTCCCGTTTTGTTTTTTTACTCCAAAATAAGATATGTGCAGTGTGCATAGGAATTTGTTCATAGTTGTTTTTTTTAAAACTATAGTCAGGCCCTCAAACAGTCTGAGGGACAGTAAACTGGCCCCCCGTTTAAAAAGTTTGAGGCCCCCTGCCTTAAAATATGCTATATTCTGAAAGCCTCAAACAAGAAGGAAAAAGCCCACAGGCATTCCAAATTAAATGGTTTTTTGTTTGTAATTTAAAGCAGGCCCTCATTATTCACATTAGTCAGGAGTAGTTTTGAAATAGCTTTTGTTTCTATGTGGCTATACACTGTATCATGTAAAATGATTCCAAGTGAAAAAACTGCTTACTCTTGTCAGAGGTCACTAAACTTCTATGAGGTTCCAAAGATCCTTTCAGCCAGTGACTCCCAGAATTTTCCAGATCAGTAACAAAATTAAGAGGGGCCCAGCACACAGGAGTCCAAATTTTTATTCTCCCAGGAGGAGGTGTTAAACAAAACAAAAATGCACACACACAAAAGAACACCTTAACAACAAAAATTGGAAGGCTGTAAAATCAGAATAAAAGCCAACATTCTGACTTAATAATTTTAGTCTCATGCTCTCCTTCTTCTCATTTCATTAAAGACTTAGGAAAGCAGCTTCCCAAACTGACCTCAGTAGCTGGGCTAGAGTGTGACAACCACTATTCTAGGTAAGTACTATTAAAGTCATGGAGTCAGCTGGTTGTTCTTGTTTTTAAAACAGCCTTTAAAATATTTTTGCTTAAAAAAGTAAAGTATTGGGAAAGAAGAAAAAAAGCAGCCCCTGACAGCTGAAACTTCTCTGAGGTTCACAACTAGACCTCAGTGTGATCACATGCTGGTCGGACACCCATGGCCAGGCCACTTCTGTTCCCCTTTTTGGATTTAATCAACCTCCCAGAATTCCCACCCCCGTGAGGCAGCATAAAACCCAACAAAGCAAGGCCGCTCATGATTCTGTGTCAGCACGGAGGTCAACAAGGGTGCTATGCAACCCACAAAATACCAAACACCCCCTTCTCTTGCTAAATGAATGGCTGTGTCTTCTTTACCCAATCAGGGAATTGCCCCACTTTCTAAAAGCATTCAACGTACAACAAACCCCTGATTCCTTAGCTGCACCTCCAAATCACACAACCGAACTCTCAATTATGAAACAGATTCTTCCTACCGCCATTCCTGCGAGCCCCCTCTCCCCTTACCCATGCTGTGCTTTCTCCCTCGCCACAAAGAGTAATAATTTGTTGAACTGCCAGTAGTGATTCCTGGGGAGTTTGGCTGAAGGGCATGGATGGTATCAAAGTAATAATTTCTTTAAACACTCCCTGATTCCAACCACTTCAAAGCAATTCCCTACCCACGCTAAACACACTCATTTTATTTTTCCTTATACTCTCCCAATCCTTGTCCACATGCATATACTGTGCATGCTTCTGTTACTGAAATCATTGTGCATACTCCTTCGTACTCTGCTTTTACTTGCTTAACACGATAACCTTTTTAAACATTTATTTTTTTTATCGATTTGAGAGGGAGAGAGAGAGAAACATCAATGATGAGCGAGAATCATTGAACGGCTGCCTCCTGCACGCCCCACACTGGGCATCGAGCCCACAACCCGGGCCCGTGCCTTGACCTCCTGGTTCATAGATGGATGCTCAACCCCTGAGCCAGGGCAGCCGAGCACGATAACAACTTTCAATGGCGGAATATTAATCCCACCATGATTTTATTCATAAAGCTTCTCTCCTTGGAGAAATACTAGCAAAAGAGCCAGAGAATACACATCTGTCAGCATCCTCCCTAAGCTGTTCTGGATCCTCCTCCAGGCTCAGGTCAAGTCCCACTTATCTGATCGACGGGCCAAGAAAAATGCGGTCTCGTGGCTTTTAAAGGGGAGAATGATGAAAGCGCAGCAGCCCGGGTGTCAGGAGGCCGCGTCTAGGCGCTTCAGTAAACAAAAGTGTGACCTCTGGCTAGACATTTCCTCCCGGCCGCTTCCTCCTCGTCTGCAGAGCCCGCGCCAGGCTGCTGCCTGGGTGTCCAGCCTGTGTTCCCGTCACCGGCGGGGAAAGAACCGC